TATAGTCTAGTCTATAGTCTAGTCTATAGTCTAGTCTATAGTCTAGTCTATAGTCTAGTCTATAGTCTAGTCTATAGTCTAGTCTATAGTCTAGTCTATAGTCTAGTCTATAGTCTAGTCTATAGTCTAGTCTATAGTCTAGTCTATAGTCTAGTCTATAGTCTAGTCTATAGTCTAGTCTATAGTCTAGTCTATAGTCTAGTCTATAGTCTAGTCTATAGTCTAGTCTATAGTCTAGTCTATAGTCTAGTCTATAGTCTAGTCTACAGTCTAGTCTATAGTCTAGTCTACAGTCTACTCTATAGTCTAGTCTATAGTTTAGTCTACAGTCTAGTCTATAGTCTAGTCTATAGTCTAGTCTATAGTTTAGTCTACAGTCTAGTCTATAGTCTAGTCTATAGTCTAGTCTATAGTCTAGTCTATAGTCTAGTCTATAGTCTAGTCTATAATCTAGTCTACAGTCTAGTCTATAGTCTAGTCTATAGTCTAATCTATAGTCTAGTCTATAGTCGAGTTTATAGTCTGGTCTACAGTCTAGACTGTAGTCTAGTCTTTAGTCTGTAGTTATTTCTATATAATGTATTTTGGAGTAAAGCCATATACTTGGACAGCGGATAGTTTCATTGCGGTTCTCGTTAATCTGCTAAACTCCCACTCTCAAGAGTACCGCAGTTATTAAACTTAGTCTTGACTTAAATCAAAATTAATCAATTTAAAAAATGTTTCCCCGTTATTTTTGAAAACTTTTCTAAAAATAAATTTCGTTAATTTCTCTCTCTAAATACATACTTAAAATGATTATTTAATTATTTAATATAATCTTTTCAAAAGACCATAACAATTTCATTAATTTGCTGTTGTGTTTGTGGTTTTCGTGTGTATATGTGTGTTTGAGCGTTTTACAAAAATATTTATTAAAAACATGCGAATTTTCTGTTAATGTCAGATCTTTTGTGAAAATAAAAATATTTTTATATATTTTTTTCCTTTCACTTCCTTTTGCACGGAAGACAGGACGTTGTTGATGTGCCTTTTTAAAGCTTCAACAAGCTTTTTTATATTTGTATATTTTTGCTAACAAAAATACAATAAACAGCAGCCACAAAACAAACGTAATATTTGTGTAGATTTCTACTACGAGCCCCGAAAGTTTCCCTAAAAAAACAACATGGTATCCTTTTACTTGGCAACCCCCAAAGTCCAATCATTTACTCCTGGTATATTAGACAGTAGCCATTTTATATCTCGATTTAAAAAGTAATTAGAAATAAATTAGTGTTTCTAATAAATAATCAAATACATAATTTATTGTCCTGTGCTAATCAAAGAATAGAAATCATAACAGCCACCCAGAACGGCAGGGTTTTTTCTGCTTGAATGTGTTGGGCCATAATGAATGAAATGAGAACTAAAATACAGCTATTTAATGTTCAAATTGTAATACAGATGTGTTCTAACCCAGCAAACATTTCCACATACATACATTGGTATTCAACTTAATACAACTTTGCTCAAGGCAGAATTGTATGAGTCAAAATTTAATTTTTATCTAAATGTTTGCTGGACTTGAAAAAAAATTATGTGCATATGAATGTATTTGTGTTTAAAAGTTTCTATGGTTTTTCCATTTTGGCTAATTGTTGCTAAGTTAATTAAAATGGAAAAATTTTTAGTCAGCTGGTGGTGTATACGTACATACGTAAGCTTGTATTTGGTTTCATGCAACCTCACATGAGGCACAACATTTAAACACAGCCAAACATACAAATTTAAATGGCAGAAAAAAGCAAATAAAACTGCAACCCTAATATAATTTTAATAATTACACTCAGAGAAATACTTATGTGAAAAAGTTTTATTTTTGAACATTTTAAAAATAAACTATATTTATAAAATTCATAAAACCTTTACTAGTTCAGTTCTAGTTCAGTTCTAGTTCAGTTCTAATTCAGTTCTAGTTCAGTTCTAGTTCAGTTCTAGTTCAGTTCTAGTTCAGTTCTAGTTCAGTTCTAGTTCAGTTCTAGTTCAGTTCTAGTTCAGTTCTAGTTCAGTTCTAGTTCAGTTCTAGTTCAGTTCTAGTTCAGTTCTAGTTCAGTTCTAGTTCAGTTCTAGTTCAGTTCTAGTTCAGTTCTAGTTCAGTTCTAGTTCAGTTCTAGTTCAGTTCTAGTTCAGTTCTAGTTCAGTTCTAGTTCAGTTCTAGTTCAGTTCTAGTTCAGTTCTAGTTCAGTTCTAGTTCAGTTCTAGTTCAGTTCTAGTTCAGTTCTAGTTCAGTTCTAGTTCAGTTCTAGTTCAGTTCTAGTTCAGTTCTAGTTCTAGTTCAGTTCTAGTTCAGTTCTAGTTCAGTTCTAGTTCAGTTCTAGTTCAGTTCTAGTTCAGTTCTAGTTCAGTTTAGTTCAGTTCTAGTTCAGTTCTAGTTCAGTTCTAGTTCAGTTCTAGTTCAGTTCTAGTTCAGTTCTAGTTCAGTTCTAGTTCAGTTCTAGTTCAGTTCTAGTTCAGTTCTAGTTCAGTTCTAGTTCAGTTCTAGTTCAGTTCTAGTTCAGTTCTAGTTCAGTTCTAGTTCAGTTCTAGTTCAGTTCTAGTTCAGTTCTAGTTCAGTTCTAGTTCAGTTCTAGTTCAGTTCTAGTTCAGTTCTAGTTCAGTTCTAGTTCAGTTCTAGTTCAGTTCTAGTTCAGTTCTAGTTCAGTTCTAGTTCAGTTCTAGTTCAGTTCTAGTTCAGTTCTAGTTCAGTTCTAGTTCAGTTCTAGTTCAGTTCTAGTTCAGTTCTAGTTCAGTTCTAGTTCAGTTCTAGTTCAGTTCTAGTTCAGTTCTAGTTCAGTTCTAGTTCAGTTCTAGTTCAGTTCTAGTTCAGTTCTAGTTCAGTTCTAGTTCAGTTCTAGTTCAGTTCTAGTTCAGTTCTAGTTCAGTTCTAGTTCAGTTCTAGTTCAGTTCTAGTTCAGTTCTAGAGTTCTAGTTCAGTTCTAGTTCAGTTCTAGTTCAGTTCTAGTTCAGTTCTAGTTCAGTTCTAGTTCAGTTCTAGTTCAGTTCTAGTTCAGTTCTAGTTCAGTTCTAGTTCAGTTCTAGTTCAGTTCTAGTTCAGTTCTAGTTCAGTTTAGTTCAGTTCTAGTTCAGTTCTAGTTCAGTTCTAGTTCAGTTCTAGTTCAGTTCTAGTTCAGTTCTAGTTCAGTTCTAGTTCAGTTCTAGTTCAGTTCTAGTTCAGTTCTAGTTCAGTTCTAGTTCAGTTCTAGTTCAGTTCTAGTTCAGTTCTAGTTCAGTTCTAGTTCAGTTCTAGTTCAGTTCTAGTTCAGTTCTAGTTCAGTTCTAGTTCAGTTCTAGTTCAGTTCTAGTTCAGTTCTAGTTCAGTTCTAGTTCAGTTCTAGTTCAGTTCTAGTTCAGTTCTAGTTCAGTTCTAGTTCAGTTCTAGTTCAGTTCTAGTTCAGTTCTAGTTCAGTTCTAGTTCAGTTCTAGTTCAGTTCTAGTTCAGTTCTAGTTCAGTTCTAGTTCAGTTCTAGTTCAGTTCTAGTTCAGTTCTAGTTCAGTTCTAGTTCAGTTCTAGTTCAGTTCTAGTTCAGTTCTAGTTCAGTTCTAGTTCAGTTCTAGTTCAGTTCTAGTTCAGTTCTAGTTCAGTTTCTAGTTCAGTTCTAGTTCAGTTCTAGTTCAGTCTAGTTCAGTTCTAGTTCAGTTCTAGTTCAGTTCTAGTTCAGTTCTAGTTCAGTTCTAGTTCAGTTCTAGTTCAGTTCTAGTTCAGTTCTAGTTCAGTTCTAGTTCAGTTCTAGTTCAGTTCTAGTTCAGTTCTAGTTCAGTTCTAGTTCAGTTCTAGTTCAGTTCTAGTTCAGTTCTAGTTCAGTTCTAGTTCAGTTCTAGTTCAGTTCTAGTTCAGTTCTAGTTCAGTTCTAGTTCAGTTCTAGTTCAGTTCTAGTTCAGTTCTAGTTCAGTTCTAGTTCAGTTCTAGTTCAGTTCTAGTTCAGTTCTAGTTCAGTTCTAGTTCAGTTCTAGTTCAGTTCTAGTTCAGTTCTAGTTCAGTTCTAGTTCAGTTCTAGTTCAGTTCTAGTTCAGTTCTAGTTCAGTTCTAGTCAGTTCTAGTTCAGTTCTAGTTCAGTTCTAGTTCAGTTCTAGTTCAGTTTAGCTAGTTCTAGTCAGTTCTAGTTCCGTCTAGTAGTTCTAGTTCAGTTCTAGTCAGTTCTAGTTCAGTTCTAGTTCAGTTCTAGTTCAGTTCTAGTTCAGTTCTAGTTCAGTTCTAGTTCAGTTCTAGTTCAGTTCTAGTTCAGTTCTAGTTCAGTTCTAGTTCAGTTCTAGTTCTAGTTCTAGTTCTGTTCTAGTTCAGTTCTAGTTCAGTTCTAGTTCAGTTCTAGTTCAGTTCTAGTTCAGTTCTAGTTCAGTTCTAGTCAGTTCTAGTTCAGTTCTAGTTCAGTTCTAGTTCAGTTCTAGTTCAGTTCTAGTTCAGTTCTAGTTCAGTTCCAGTACAGTTCTAGTTCAGTTCTAGTTCAGTTCTAGTTCAGTTCTAGTTCAGTTCTAGTTCAGTTCTAGTTCAGTTCTAGTTCAGTTCTAGTTCAGTTCTAGTTCAGTTCTAGTTCAGTTCTAGTTCAGTTCTAGTTCAGTTCTAGTTCAGTTCTAGTTCAGTTCTAGTTCAGTTCTAGTTCAGTTCTAATTCAGTTCTAGTTCAGTTCCGTTTTAGTTCAATTTTAGTTCATATTAAATTTATAAAAAATCGTCCACAACCTGCTGCAAAACTTTCCTGCACCTTTTTAAATAAATAAATAAAAAGCAATTTGCATTTTAAACAAGAAGATAAATCGATAACAAATAAATAATATTACAACACAATTATAATAGCAAATAAACACAAAGGAATTACACACCTTCTAACTAAAACCTTTATACAAAAAGAAAAAAACATCAATAAATACCATTGACGCCTTTCCCATACGTGCTAAAACATATGGAAATTTTCACACTTCTTTCTTATTAGAATATATGTAGGTATGCAATTTTGATTTACAATTGCAATTTTATTGTTGTTCCAGAATATGTGGCGCTGTAGTGTGTGTCGAAGAAAGATGGCCTCACGTGTTTGTATACCACAGAATTCAACAGACTCTAGTCTGGATGTACCAGTATTAGAAGCATTGCAACGACGTCATTCAGATGCCAAATTGGGATCAAGCACACAAACATTAGCGCCTGCAAATGGTAGTGCTGCTTTGGCCCCACCTCGTAGTCCCGAACTAAGACGACATTCAGATGTATCACCTGCGTCATTAAAAGAGCTGGAAAGGGTAAGTTGGAAATGAAGAGGAAAATTAAATTGCAATGAATTTTTTTGTTTGGTTTTCCAGCAATTGAAAGGCAACAAGACACCCGGTGGTGATATGGACTGGCGCAAGGGTGGCCATAGTATGGCACCCAGTCGCTCGGGTAGTCCGCCACGACAAGAGGAATTAAGTTTTGGACCACCTCTCTCACGCATGGCTTCCAGACGTGGCTCAAGAGTTGCCCGTCAACACAGTTATGATGATGATGCCAATGCCACAGGTGCCGGTGTAGCCGGCAGTTTGGGTGCTGGTGTTGATATGGGTTTGGGTATACCAGCCATGCCCAGAAGGTATTTACTAATAGTTTAATATAAATTGAATTTTTGTGAATGTTTTTTTTTTTTAGAAAATCGGCTTATGATGTTTTCGCTCCGGGTGTTTTGCAAGCAGCTGCTCAAGCTTCTCAACGTTCTCCTGGCGATGCCACACTGGGTCCACAGATCGCTTTGCCCGGCTCTCGAAGACCTTCATTTCGTGTGCCTCATCCCTCGGAAGATATTAACAATGATGAATCACCCAGCCCAGATAAAGGTAGTCCGGTGTTAACGGTCGACGAGGATAGACGTATGCGAAGGAGAGGTTCACAATTGTGAGTAAAAAAGTCAACTATAAAAGTTATTTAACAAAAATCCTGAACATTTATCAAAATTAAATTAATTTAGAGATTTTCGAAATTGACGAAAAAAAGTAATTAACTCGATTACAAAATTAATTAAATTAGGAATTTTTACGAAACTGTTTCACACAAAAACTGTTGAGAATTATTTTCAACGTAAATTTCTTTTTTTTATTTTATCTCCCGTCCAGACCTGATTTGGCTGCTTTACAATCACGCGGTGCTCTACCCACTTCCGGCATACCCTCGGCTATACCACCCCCATTGGCTGCTTTCACCGGTCCCAATTTAGAAGATCTTGAAGCGCCACGACGTCAAACATCGATGGATGGTGAACAGATTAAAATTGTTATTCACGATGTTGATTCAGGACCCATATGTTCGTCGAAACGACGTATTATTTTAAGAAGAGATCCTTCAGATAAAGCTCATCGCAGTGAGTATTACGATTACAGTTTTCTTTAGGTTACAAAAATTGGACTTACTATTTGTTGTTGTTGTCAAAATGTTTAAGGAGTAAATACGAATAATACCATTTTTCATATAAGGGGACCGATACTTCAATGATTTTTTTCTCCAAGTTTAAAATTTAATTTAAAAATTCCTCAATCAAGCACCCTATTCAAACCATTTTATTTTATTAATCATCTGAACGACTACTAAGCTAGTTGAATTTAAATTACCGTAACATAGAAATATTTTCATAAGTAAATATTTGTAAAATTTATCATTTAAAAGAAGATGTCATGCAAAAATGATTACCTTATCTCACTACAAATGATGACAACAAGGGCGTTTAAGCAGCAGAAAAGAATAGTAAGAACAAAAGTTAACTCAAGTGCATTTAGAAATGCATCTCTAGATGCATTCACACATGTGTACACATGAAGCAGTAATGGGCATTTCTTCGTTGCACGAGACCAAATACAGCTAGATCACTTGCAATTTAAAGTTTGGCTAATGCCCATTACTGATTTACTCACACATCTCTACACGAGTGTATAAAGACATTTATTTATTTTTTTTTTTTCATCTTGCCACATCTCTCGTACAGCATAATTTCAAAATTACTTGGGTAGTTTCACTTGAAATATTTATGACGCTGTTGCTGTAGTAGATTCATGCATTTAATGCATGAAGATTAAGTAAAGTGAAATTCTTTACATGCAATTGAACTTTAAAAGTTACACCCCCTCCAGCGTTTATTCGACGCAAAATAAAGCAAACTTACAAAATAAACCACTTGTTAGTGCAGAGTGTAGACAAAGTTGTTTATAGGTGGGTTAATATTTTAAGTTATTTTTTTTTTCTCGGGGGTATGGTGTTTTTAAAGGTTTGTTTATAAAAAGTTATTGGCAAATATGAGAATATCATATAATATAGAAAAAATATGTACTTACCGAGTACTACGCCATAAAAATATGGATCTGTAATAAAGAAAAGAAAACATATTTAGTTTATTTTACAATGAGCTAACAATTTAGAAAAAAAAATATAGATCAGTGATTACGTAAGGCCTAGTATGTAAGCTAGCTTCTAATCAAAATTTCAAAAGTGTGTGGAAGTAATTAATAATCTAGAGTACTCCAAAGTCTAGTCAATAGAGTGGACTATAGTATAGTCTATAGTCTACTCCAGTTTATAGTCTGGTCCAGAGTATTAAAGACAGTACAGACTACAGACTAGGCCTAGACTATAGACTAGGACTATGGCCCTAGACTATAGACTAGACTATAGACTAGACTTTAGACTAGAGCATAGACTAGACTGTAGACTAGACTAAAGAACCGGACTATAGACCAGACTATAGATTATACTAGTTAGTTAGTTAGTTAGTTAGTTAGTAGTTAGTTAGTTAGTTAGTTAGTTAGTTTAGTTAGTTAGTTAGTTAGTTAGTTAGTTAGTTAGTTAGTTGGTTAGTTAGTTAGTTAGGTTAGTAGTTAGTTAGTTAGTAGTTAGTAGTTAGTTAGTTAGTTAGTTAGTTAGTAGTTAGTTAGTAGTAGTTAGTTAGTAGTTAGTTAGTTAGTTAGTAGTTAGTAGTAGTTAGTTAGTTAGTTAGTTAGTTAGTTAGTTAGTAGTTAGTTAGTTAGTTAGTTAGTTAGTTAGTTAGTTAGTAGTTAGTTAGTTAGTTAGTAGTTAGTTAGTTAGTTAGTTAGTTAGTTAGTTAGTTAGTTAGTTAGTTAGTTAGTTAGTTAGTTAGTTAGTTAGTTAGTTAGTTAGTTAGTTAGTTAGTTAGTTAGTTAGTTAGTTAGTAGTTAGTTAGTTAGTTAGTTAGTTAGTTAGTTAGTTAGTTAGTTAGTTAGTTAGTTAGTTAGTTAGTTAGTTAGTTAGTTAGTTAGTAGTTAGTTAGTTAGTTAGTTAGTAGTTAGTTAGTAGTTAGTTAGTTAGTAGTTAGTTAGTTAGTTAGTTAGTTAGTTAGTTAGTTAGTTAGTTAGTTAGTTAGTTAGTTAGTTAGTTAGTTAGTTAGTTAGTAGTTAGTTAGTTAGTTAGTTAGTTAGTTAGTTAGTTAGTTAGTAGTTAGTTAGTTAGTTAGTTAGTAGTAGTTAGTTAGTTAGTTAGTTAGTTAGTTAGTTAGTTAGTAGTTAGTTAGTTAGTTAGTTAGTTAGTTAGTTAGTTAGTTAGTTAGTTAGTTAGTTAGTTAGTTAGTAGTTAGTTAGTTAGTTAGTTAGTTAGTTAGTTAGTAGTTAGTTAGTTAGTTAGTTAGTTAGTTAGTTAGTTAGTTAGTTAGTTAGTTAGTAGTTAGTTAGTTAGTTAGTTAGTTAGTAGTTAGTTAGTTAGTTAGTTAGTTAGTTAGTTAGTTAGTTAGTTAGTTAGTTAGTTAGTTAGTTAGTTAGTTAGTTAGTTAGTAGTTAGTTAGTTAGTTAGTTAGTTAGTTAGTTAGTTAGTTAGTTAGTTAGTTAGTTAGTTAGTTAGTTAGTTAGTTAGTTAGTTAGTTAGTTAGTTAGTTAGTTAGTTAGTTAGTAGTTAGTTAGTTAGTTTGTTTGTTTGTTTGTTTGTTGTTTGTTAGTTAGTTAGTTAGTTACATATCCACATACCCTCCCAAATATTGCACTTCCCTTTCAGAAAATATGTCATTTCAATCTTAAACTAAAGTTTCTACTATTTTCGTTCTTTTCTTTTGAACATTTTCAATCTGCACAATTCAATTAATTAAGTTTTAGTTGTTCTTTCACTTTTCTTTCATTTTCATGGTGTTTGTTTGTCATCTAAAGATAAAAACTTATTCTTACTTATACGACTAAAATACAATTAGACAATGGATGAATGTATCGATTGAATGGAAATAGTTTTGAAACTATAGTTTCAATAGAATATTATGATGTGTGTGTGTGTGCGGTAAGAGGTAACAGTAGTGTCATTACATATAAAAACTAATACGATTTAACAAATTTAAAACAAATTGATTGGGGTAGTTGCTTTTAATTGAAAGAAATTTAACAATACTTAAAATATAGTTGTAAATTTGGTAAGAAGGAAAAAGTAAGTATTTTGTGGGAAGAGTTTTAAAAGGAAAAAATCTTAAGTTTTATCTTTAGTTTTATAGTACTAATTACGAATATGTAAGTAGTTGTCGTATATTTGATACCAAATTTTTAAATAAAAAAATTGTAGACAGTTATTTAAGTTAAGAGCAATAAAGAGTTATTTCCCCAAAAAAAAAAATAAGTTTTTCATTGTACTATTTGCAAAGCCTTGAAAGTAATATAAAGTGCCTTTAGACATCATTGAAAACTTTAAATGTCAAAATATTGAAAAATTTTCAAGATGTTGGGAGAATAGTAGGGAGAAATTTTTAACCATATATTTCTTGACTAAGCGATATTTTCTTAAATTTAAGGCTGGTGTTGCAATGGTCAACAATAACCAAGTGGACTAAAATGTTCAACTTTCTCCTTTAACAAGAAGTGAACTAATAAGATACACCCTAATATATTGCCGTTTTTTGTATGTATTTATAAAAATCTGTTCACTAGAAATTTAACCCATTTGAGGTTTATTACTCATATACAAACCGACATATTTACTGGTAACAAAAGACAGCAAGAAATTGAGACATTAGTACACACAACTATGTGCAGTACATTCCAAGTTATGTTCATCAAAAGTTTTTGATATCCAATTATAATTAAAAGTTTATTAACTTTATTGTTAAGTTCTTTTCTATATTTTTTTTCTTATTTTTGTTGTAACTTATTGTTGGGCAACGATGAGGTTTTAAAGTAAAACTGTACAAATGATTCGTACAAAATAACAACAAAAAGTACCAAGATCGACAAACAAAAGAAAATAGATCGGTTCATAAAATAGTTTTGTAAGTTAGACTCTTTCAACATGTAGTTAAGGAAAACATTTTTATAATCACACTTAGGCCAAAGAAACAGTTAAAATATTTGTGGCCAAAAAGTACTTTTGGTACATTTCTTTGGTACTTTATTTAATTCTATCATTATAAAGACAAATGGCCAAAAAAAATTCTACTTCATTCTGTCTATCTTCTTTTCTAACTGTCTGTCTTTTTTCGTTCTCATGTAGTTTGTTAAAAGTTTTTGTTACTTTTTACTCCCTCCCAATCTAAGCCTCTCTATCAATGCCTGTATATTCATACTTTAATGCCTTTGGTACGTTTTTTTTTTTTTTTGCTATATTTCTCTATTCAGTCTTAAGAAAACCTTAATCAAAAGTTAAACATAAAATGCCAAAATTACTTAAATAAAAACTGTTGGAATAAAAAAAAAGGAATTTTCACAATAAAGCTTCACTCTTAAACTACTGACAGTCCCTGCTGTTGCTACTTTTCAATTTTAGTTCTTTTCTAAAGGATGCGGGTAATATACGCATTAATAAGCTCTAGCGAAATATGTATCTCGCTGTCTTTCCTCATTATAATTATAAGGAGTTTTTCTCATTAAAAATTGTTCAAAATACAAACAGTTTTTATTTTCTCTTCCTGTTGAATTTTTTAATTTCCATTATTTTAATTTATTTTGTGTCTTTAATTTATGGTTTAAGAGGAAATGCTGTAACAAAAAATTGTATTTGCAGATGTTACAAATACTTTTTCTTTGTGTGGAAAGGGAATATTTAGTATTGAAGTTTTATGGAAATATTTTATATAGTCTATATAGTCTAGTCTATAGTCTAGTCTATAGTCTAGTCTATAGTCTAGTCTATAGTCTAGTCTATAGTCTAGTCTATAGTCTAGTCTATAGTCTAGTCTATAGTCTAGTCTATAGTCTAGTCTATAGTCTAGTCTATAGTCTAGTCTATAGTCTAGTCTATAGTCTAGTCTATAGTCTAGTCTATAGTCTAGTCTATAGTCTAGTCTATAGTCTAGTCTATAGTCTAGTCTATAGTCTAGTCTATAGTCTAGTCTATAGTCTAGTCTATAGTCTAGTCTATAGTCTAGTCTATAGTCTAGTCTATAGTCTAGTCTAT